TTATAACGCTATCTGATGTTGTTTTGATATGATGTGAACATGTTTATTTTACCCAGTAAAAGTTGATCAGATATAATATTGGTAAAATAATAATACAATAATACAGTTTTAGACATTGTCGATACATGAGTAGGCCTATCACTAATAAACAATATGCATTTAGTATCAATTTTTTTTTCCTTGAGCAGTTTACATCTTGTTATTTTTAGTCCTGTTGTAATTATGAACATGCAATGTGTATAGTATAGAATACTTCTCCATGTCCAGTATACTTCACATGTGTTTTATGGCACTTTAATAGCTCTGTCAACGATTTGGAGCATCATTCTCATATATTATGATGTAATATGGCCTCTATATGTACACACACACACACACACACACACGCACACACACACACACACACACACACACACACACACAAAGATATATTTAAACACTAATCGTTAAAATAACATTGTTCCTCAGAAAACACTGTTCCATTAAGACATACAAATTATTGAACATTGAAATTCCAGAAAATAAATATTCCACAATACCATCCTTGCATAGTAGAAGATGAATAATCTGTGTACATGAGTAGGGAGGCTCGTATACCCTCGTGAAGCACAGCGAGGTGGAACAGATTACGCCACAGCCAATTGCTTGGCATAAGAATACATCAGTCTGCATCGTCTAATGGCAGCCACACAGTGGCATAATCCTGATGGATTTGACTCTGTCATTGCCTTGAAATAAGTTTCAGAGAAGAGAAAGAACACAGAAACAACAGCAAAAAGCATTTGTTATCAACCCAGTGTTCTGCTGGAGCTAATAATGCACAATAAGATCAAACACACAGGAACTAAACAAGATTTAATGAACATAATAAGGTAATGAGACCTCTTAAGCTCATCATCATTCATGGAAAACTGACAATGAATCAATGCCCATGGCCCAGAGCAGGCGCCTGCCGCTAGTGTACACTACAGACATGTCAATGAGAGACTAATGGATGCCATCTCAACTGAGGCTTGCTGTGTCAGTTTGGCTCGCAACCAAACCACCCAAAAGCTGGAGAAATACGCGTGGCAGATAGCGAGAGCGCTACATGTGTTTCATGTCAGAGCGTGTATACAGCGCCAAGGCACGTCAGGTCACGCTGAAGCAGTACCACCTGCTAAGTTTCGCTATGCGTAGTGTGATATAATGAGCCTTTGTCAATATTTCCAAGCCCGTTGAGATGCTAAAGAAGCATGCAAGTCATCCCGAAGCAGTATGGCACTGTACATAGTAAAAGCTATTTCTTTGGTAACTGTACAGCAGCTAACACAGGCTGTCAAGCGATATCTCATGCACTTTCTGCAGTACAAACATCTCCACTAACTCCCCGAGCTGTTCTCCTTGATCCTGCTGTGTTATAGTGTCAGCTGAACTTCTCAATGTCACACCTGACTCTCCTGACAAGGTGGGAAAAAAAGACTACAAGCTTTCCTCTAACACCTCAGCTAGATTTCACAGACAGGCTGAAGTTGATGAAATAAAACGTGGAGTGTGGAGAGATGTTTTCAGAAGGAAGGAGGAAAGCAGGGAAGTGGCACACCTGTTAAAGTAATAGTCTAATTATGGAAAAGGTGGTGAAGCACTCAGCGCGAAACAGTCAGCGATCAGCATTCTCACACTAACTGTGAAAGCCGTCAGCCATTATGGGCTGGTTGTAATGCGCGCCCCGACGCATGCTGGGGATTTGTGGGTAAGATGAATGATGCCCGCATGTGTGAATGCATGTGTGTGTGTGTGTGTGAGATGGGGGTGGAGATGGTCCGCTGAGCGATGCAGATGGTACATGGGAGGGGGGATCATTAGATATGAGGGTGCTTTGTTTGCAGTGCTGCAATTCTTACATTCCAATAAACCGCCTCTTCAAGTCCAGTAAATGCCACCGGTACAGTTCACTTTCACAGCCCTAAACTTCCTACAAAAGACCTTGTGAAAGGTACTGGATAATAAGGAGTTGCAAAATTCACGTAATCCTGTTTAAATGTCATGGGTCTCAAGCAAACAATGAAATGTCATGTTTAGGCTTTAGGAAGTTCTCAAATTTCCGCAAAATGGGAATGCCCATCATGCACATGTTTCTATGCATCCCATGTGGAAAATAAATGTTCTTTTTAAAAATATTTTGGTATAATATGTCTAGCTACTAACAAGAGTATAAAACTCTCAGATCTGTTTAGCGCATTTTATCACATACAAATCTTTTTAAACAATTCGTCAGATTTTCACAGTAAAGTAGTGCAGAATATGCAGAAAAGTTTGCAGATTTCTTCTTCCACACCCAGAAGCCCAAACAAGAGTTTCTGCATCCCCATCCAAAGAGATAACGCTGCCAAGATTAATGAAATTCGCCACTTTCTCCACCTGTTGTCCACCGATGGTAATCGGGACTCTTGAGTTTGCATGAATGATGATGGCAACTTTGGTCTTCTGTCCATTGATTCGGAGTCCAGCGCTGGCCGCTTGATTTTCTAGGGCCATAGTGAGATGTCATAGAGCAGAGCAGTTTGGGCCAGGTCAAAAATGACAATATCATCGGCAAAGTCGAGATTGGCAAGGAGGAGGTTGTCACCTGTCCAGGGTATGCCAATGTGTAGGTACTAGGCAGTCAATGGAATGGCTGCAGACAAAGTCGATGAAAAGGAGGAATAGCCTCTGTGAAAGCATGCAACCCAGGGCTCGCAAAATTTAAAAATCCCTGGTAGCCCTTCGGGCAGGCATTCTTCAGAGTTTGGTAGCCCAAAAATAAATTTAACTAGCCCGAATAAGAGAGAGAGAGAGAGTAGGGGTGCAACGGATCACAAATCTCACGGTTCGGATTATATTACATTATCATATCACATTTTGAGTCACAGATCGGATCATTTTTCAGATGAGCAAAAAAATATGGTTCTTTATTATTTAAAGAACAATGTACTACTTCGATACCACAGCAAAAACTAGTAGCATATAGTGATGTAACGATTCACTCAACTCATGATGTGATATGATTCACAATACTGATTTCACAATACAATTTTCTCAATTTCTTTTTTAACAAAATGAGATTTAAAACAGATTTAAAGGCACAATATGTATGTTTTCATTAAAATATCCAAAAACAACTAGAACATTGTTATATATTTTGCTGACTTGTCTACTTACATTATCCCAAATGTTTCGAAGAATGTTTAAATCCAGAGAAATAAGCAATTTTAACTAGTGACACGGACCGTGTCCATAGTGTCATTGTGTCGCCTGCCAATGACGTCATAACCCCTCGAGTTCCGGTTTTGTTTTGTAGAAAACATGGAAACACACTTTAATGTGTAATATGTTGTGTGTTTTAAAGGGGTCATATGATGCGATTTCAAGTTTTCCTTTCTCTTTGGAGTGTTACAAGCTGTTCGTGAATAGATAAGATCCCTGAAGTTGCAAAGACTAAAG